ACTATTGGGTTGCTCCAAAAGGAACCGGCGATTTTTTATACAGACGAAGTACAGTGAGGAAAATGATGCTCGAAATAGATATTACAATAATTCCCAGAAGCTTTCTAGTTACGGAAAAATAAGTTTTTTTGGGTAATTCATCATAAAGAAGTAAAAGAATAATGCAATTAGAGTTATTTGAATGATTTTATGAAAATCATATCATTTTTCCTAAATTAAAAGCGTTATTGCGAAAAAGTGCTTACAGATATATTATTCAAAGTATTGTCCTTCGCTAGCCACAATTTTCTCCCATCTTTCCGGCAATTTTCGAATCCTCTTTTGACGCTATCCATGAAGCAATCCATTTTTCCAATTCTTCGAAGGATTAAAAATGTTGATCTGCCAGGCCGTGTGCCATCGAACGGAATAGGTGGAAGTCAGAAGGAACGACATCTGGGTAATACGGCGGGTGGGGCAAGACTTCCCATTTCAGCGTTTCAGGTACTTTTTGACCACTTTTGCGACGTGAGGCCGAGCATTGTCGTGTTGGAGGATGACTTTGTCATATCGCTCTTGATATTGAATCATGCCCAGGGCCTTGAGACGTTTTGAAATGGCTTACTGACTCACTCCCAACGATTCGGCAAGCTGTTCTTGGGTTTGGCACGAATTTTCATCAAGCAATGCGTATAGTTGTTTTTTCTCTTCCACCACCATGTTTGTCTTCGACATCGAAATCACCATTTTTAAAACGTTGAAACCACTTCAGACACGTTCTTTCACTCAGAGCAGCATCACCGTAAGCTTCTGAGAGCATTCGATGCGCTTCAGCTGCATGAAACGGCGATGATAATTCGTTAGGCACTGTCCACACTGTCTTTAAAGGCATTATCATCTATCTGTATTTCAACCAACCTCAGCCGGTACAGCCACTTATCGGAAAACGGCGGAAGCAAAGTTGTACACCAAAGTTGTACACAAAAGTGTGATAAACATCGGTTTTCAACAACTTTTATTTATTTAAGGTTCAAATTTTATGTAAAATATATAAACTGCTTCTTCACCACCATAATCATTTTCGTGATCATAATCATCTTCGCTTGAATTGTCATCATCGCCTTCATCACCAACATAATCAACTTCATTATTATTATCACTCTCCATCACGATCATCTCTAAAGCTTCTTCTAGTATAGACTGCACATTTTTTTGATAAATTTCTATTGGTAGGTATAACGGGGTCAGAACTGAGTAAAAGTCTGTTAAATATGCATTTGCGAGAAAAAGGCTCTCTAAAAGTCCAAAAATCGTTGTTACGAGCTTCCTGAGCTTCTTCTGTTAATTGTCCGATGGGTTACAGTGCGTAGGATATTATGTCTGGTAAATGGATGAAATATTTCTGAAGTGTTGTGGGCATGTTGTGCCAAGGATAATATTCAGCGAAATATTTTCCTGTACTTAAAGCGTAGTCTAAAAACTTCGGTACGTCAATATCGTGGCCACTAGAAACAATTACGATTATTGTATGCATCTTTGTAATCAAATTTATGGCCGCGGTAGCCATTCCTAAGACTCGGATTCAAATCCTGGTGTCCTCCGTTTGCATTTCTGACATAAAATAAAGCTCCTCATAAAACCCGTCATCCGTTCGGAGCTGGCTTAGTATAAACTGTAGGTCTCTCCAATTGTTGGAAAAATAGCAAGACGCAAAACCACATTTCACACCACTGTGCGGCGATGACAATTTTTTTGAACAGCTTGTGACTATTTAGAAAAAAAATGTTTGCTTATATTTCTTTGTTTGGCTCAATTTTAATGTGAAGCCCGCAAAATTACATCTTCGCCGTTTTTTACTTTATTATTTCTTTGAAGAAAAAAATGCAGCGCAAGTTGTATGGTAATAAGGCCCTAATAGAAACACAGTGTCGAAGTTGGTTTTTCAAATTCCGTTCGGGAGGTTTCTCACTCAAAGATAAGCCACGTTCAGGTCGGCCAAGTGAAGTTGATGATGACGATATCAAGGCTTCAATCGAAATGGATTGTCATATAACTGATCGTTAGATTGGAGAGAAGTTAAGTATACCAAAATCAACCGCTCATAATCATATACGACCTCTTGGACTGGTAAAAAAAAACATGACATTTGGGTACCACATGAATTGAAAAAAATTCGTTTAGCAAGCCGCTTCAACGCCTGTGATCTGCATCTTAAACGCAATGAATATGATCCGGTTTTAGTCGGCACTCCTTTAGTCCGCATCCGACCACAATTGCCGCAAAACTCCAGATCCGCAACAAAATACTCAAAGCAGGCAGTACCAGGGGTAAAGACAAAGAAACTTTGCTAGCAACTTACAAAGCAATTGGCCGGCCGGTCGGCTTGTTAGAACACCGCCCTCAGGACGCGACAAAAAGCCTCCTGATGTCACCGGAGCATCACTTGCACAGTGAAGCATCTATGCTACGAGTTAAGGAGCGTAATGCTTTGCTGTGCAAGCAATTTCTATTGGGACTCTACACCCAATAGGCATCTTATCGAAGCTGAACCACCACTTAGGCACATCAGAAAGGGAATGCTCGACATGAAAAAAACCTTCCAGTGATAAGAACAACAACCGCTGAACAGGACGGTGTGCAGACAGACACTGAACGCCATTCACCAGGAGTCGGTCAACACCTTCAAAGACTCCCTACCCGTCAATGGCGGGCTCAGAGTAAAACCACCACCCATGGCAGACAACGAGTTGCAGCGAGAGACCCGCGTGATCTTGGCACAACTCTGAGAGGGAGAGTCTCCGCACGACACTAACCACCTCTTCACATGCCCCCTTAAGCCGACTCATCTCACCCCCCTCGAGACAGCTCGTTTTCTGGAACTCCCACTAGATGACCGCTACAACAACAGCATCAACAACAACAACATGGTACAAGCATGATGAAGCGCCTTAAACCACTCCAAACGCTGATATTCAACAAAAGAAGACTCTGCTGCCAGTTTGGTTGGATCAGAAGGGTGTGGTAAATTTTGAGCTGGTGGAACCAGCAACGAAACGATTAATTCGGATGTCTACTGTGAACAAGTTGGACAAATTGAAAACATTCATAAGCCAATCAATGCTAGACCGCCTGCATCTTTGGTCACTCGCCAAAAACTGAAAGAGCTTAGCTGGTAACTGTTGTTGCATCCCGCATACAGCCTTGACAATGCAGCGTCATACTACCATTTGTGTTAATCTTTGCAGAACTCATCAAAACGGTAAATCTTTCGAAAATGACGAGGCTATAAAATCCCTTGGCTCAGTTTCTTGCAGATAAAGGCCAGAAGCTCTGCGAGCGTAGAATAAGGATGTTGCCGGATGGCGAAAGCCATAGCATAATTTTTTCACTATAATTTCTTAATTTTTTTTACTTACCCATTTGAACAAAATACAATCTTCTTTTCTTAAATCAAACAGCATTTTTTTTTTTTTTGATTTTATATATTTATTATTTATAAGTAAATTTATTATTATTTATTAATTATCTTTAATTAAGGAATTCGTTCAACTGGTAGTTTGCCTTTTAATTATCAATTATTTGAAAAAATATTTTATCTGTATGTATGCACATAATTAATTGTTATACATACATCTGTAATTGATAATCCATTGCAAAACGAAATGCAATAGTATAATATAATAATAATAATATAGTATAAATAAAGAAATTAAAAATTATTAAATTAAATTTAATATATATATATATATATATGTATAAATGTACACAACACAAGCATGCATGTATGTACATGCAATCTTATTGCAACATACCGATAGCAAGGCATTATATAAATATTTTTTTTTTTTTACTTTTTTCAATGCTTGTTTGTATGTACTGTGTATATGTATTTACCAGTTAATACATATTTACTTTCGTTTATGTATATAATACTCGTCATTTCTCCACGAGATAATCAAGTCTTAAGCGTGGATACAGCAATTCAACGGTGAATTCGGTGAATTCGGTGAATTGTGCGACACGGCAAATTAGCGGCAAATAGGATGAACGCTTAAAAATACATACATATTTATTCAATATCTATAACTACTACATACATTATAAATTACTCGAATAGTGCACATTTTTTCAATTTAAATATAATCAGAAGCTTAATGCGTCAAGCAAAAATCAATACTTTATTTATTAAATTATTATTATTATATTAAGATTATTTAAAATTGCAAAGAAATTAAAAAAAAAAAATTATTAACGAACCTTATAAATAATTGAAAAGCTTAGGCAGAGGCATAGAAAGCACAGTAGAGGGAAACTTAACAAGCAAATTACAAAAAAAATTTATAACAAAAAAATTATAATCGAAAAAAAGTAAGTAATTATAATAATTAACGTGATTTAATGTTATTTAATACAGCACAAAAAAATAGTTAGCATTTTTGTTGTTATAATAAACTGAAGAAACGCCCATGGTGGTTTTCGTCTAAAGCATAGAGTTTATGGACATAAATTCTAACCTCGGCTGCCAAATACTCACTCGGCTGGACTCCACTGGACATTCGCTGAAGTTTGAAGATAGAACTAAGCACTGCTGTTGCGACACCGGGCCACGCCGGATGGGTTTCACTGTACGGATGAGACTGGTTGTGGGCGCTGCAAGCTATTGGTTGTACGGGATACGTGTGTGTGGGTGGATAATGAATTTTCCGAACACAAAATACTACAAATATTATCAGCGGTCGATGACGCAGCAGCTTGCAGTTTGTGGCACAGTTTCTGTAAAGAGCATACTGAGCTTCTGTTGCTACTGCTGATGGTTCCCAGTAGTGGGTTCGGTTTCGCTTTCGCTTTCGATTTCGGTTTATGGTGCGTAGCCGTAGAGTTTGAAAAGCGCAAAAAGACAACGCTTAATTGCGCTTTTAGCTTGATAACGCACCAAATGTTGATGTTGTTAATTTAATTTAATTTTATTTTATTTTGTGACTGTGGTTTGTATTGCAAATTTTGGTTTTCAATTTTATATATTTTTTTTTTCGAATTTATTTTAGCAAGAAATTGTGTAAGTAATGAGCGTAAGCACGCTTGGTGAGTGTATAGTTTATTTCAATTTATGATAATTCTATTATGCACTTTCTTTTGGAAAAATTTCAAAATCTCAACATCATATTTGCCTTGTTTAATCATTAAATTTGTTTTTGTTGTTTAGTAAATGCGTCCACAGGTATCCATGTGCATACTTCTATGGCAAAAAATACAAAAACAATTATTTTAAAATAACAACTGTACTTTTAATGATTTTTAGTGCATGAATGTATGTATGTATGTGGGCATTCTGAGCATCCTTGCAACTTGTGTACCACATTAGGTGTACACAATGAAGGTTGGTGAATGTATGTATGCAAATTATTTGTGATTTTATATACATACTGAAGTGCATGAGCAAGCGCAAATACCGTTATTCAAGAGTTTGAGTGTTTTTTTCTATTTTTATTTATTTGATTTTTAATTTTAATTTTTGTGCTGTTGCAAAATGTAGTGCTTGTGCTTTTTATGAAAGTTTCTATATTTAATGCAAGAAAAAAAGTTGATCCACCACTCACCAAGTTGCCAGTCAATGCCTCGGCACTAAAGTACATACATATGTATATATTTACAGGACTTCCTTCCATTAACTAGCCGCGGGCGTTGCTGTCAATAAAACCAAACCAATCACCAAAAGAGTTTTCTTTTTCGTTTTCATTTAAACCATTTGTAAGCCAAAGTGTCACCTTTCACCAACCAGAGAAGACCAGAGTAGCTAGTTTCCATCTTAAGCTCAAAAGCCTTTGCAGTATAAAGCCTTCTTCATATTTCTGTTTCTTTTTTAATTTATTAATTTAATCTTTTTTTATTGTGGTTGTTTCGCAAATAGTGCGTGCATTTTCTTTACATATATGTAGGCGTGCGTGCGTTTGTGCTTTAAATTTTTCTATATCTTCGCTGTGCTTTTGATTTATGTATGTAAGATGTTTTTTGCATATTGCTTATTTTTTCTTTTTTAAATTTAAGTGCATGAGAGGAGAAGTGCTTAAACTTGAGCAGGCGATTTTATTTTTTATTTTTTTAGTTTTTTTTTTGCTGTTTATCGCCATACACATTGACTACATCTACAAGTAGATAAAATAGAAAACAAAGAAAAAATATTCATAAAAAGAAATTTACATATTTATTTTACTATACGTAAACTAACTATATAAAATGAAAATATATGTACGTATGTATAATATCTTAATATACCAATATACATTGCATAACCATTCTTCGTTCTTTCTTTTTTTTAATTTCACGTTTTTTTTCATTTAAATTAATTAATTTTATTATTTAATTTATTTACTCTTTTCTTTTTCATTTTATTTTATTTTACTTATTTCATTTAATTTGTTTACTTTATTTTATTTTACTTATTTCATTTAATTTGTTTACTTTATTTTATTTTACTTATTTTATTCTTTTTTATTATATTTTATTATTTCATTTCAGTTCATTTCATTTCAGTTCATTTCATTTCATTTCATTTCATTTCATTTCATTTCATTTCATTTCATTTCATTNATTTTATTTTATTTTATTTTATTTTATTTTATTTTATTTTATTTTATTTTATTTTATTTTATTTTATTTTATTTTATTTTATTTTATTTTATTTTATTTTATTTTATTTTATTTTCTTTTATTTTATTTTCTTTTATTTTATTTGTTTTTATTTTATTTTAGTTTATTTTATTTTATATTATTTTATTTCATTGAAATTTTATTTTTTAAATGTATTTTTTTTTTGTAATAGGTTTTCAATTCAGTTATCATACCTCATTAATATAAATATAAAATAAAAATTGCAATGTACAAATGGTATATATAATAGTATGTGTGCTTTTTTTTATATACGATATGTTATAATTTTTTTCAATAAGTAAATATAAAAAAAATTTCATACATCAGCAATGAAACAAAACACCTTCGCCACAAATAATAAATAATAAAAAGTACATAAAAATATAAGAAAAAATCAGTAAGCAAAGTCGATGGATTCTTTTTCATACCAAAAAAAAAAATGTAAAGCCATTAAAAGACTCAATTTTGACGTTTATAAATCCAACCAAAATATGCGCTTAAAATTTTAAATTAAATAATTTTGAAATAAAGTTGTTCTGACCACGAATCTGGCGTTAACCTCCATTGTTTAAGAAGCCTCTGAACTTAATTTTTTTCTAAAAACTGCCATTACAATATTAAACAGGTTCAGTATTAAGATTAATTGCTTCATAAGACGCTTAAAAATATATTTATCAAACGTTTAGTTTAGATTAGATCTGAAATTTACAGTTGCCGAGTGCGTTCAGTTCAAGAGAACATAATAAGGAATATGCTGTTGCTGGCGCCTCAGTTGCCGTCGGAGGAATGGAAGAAGTTTACTATTTTGAAAATACTATTTAGTTTGACTATTTTCAAAATCATATTTCCAATCATATTTTCTTAACTTTTAAAACAATAAAATGTAAAAGTAAAGTCTATTAAGTTTTCTTTTCCTTCCATCTACGGATTCATGAACAAAATGCAATTTATTTTAAGGCTTCAACTACAAAAATATTACAAATTGTTTAAATAAAAAAATACAACATAAGTAACTATTTTTATTTGTTTGTTTTGCAATTACCATTTAATTTCTATTTTGGATGCTTTCAAATGAATTTTATTATTTGCACAATTTAATAACGTATTTTGAAGGTAATTAAAGTTGATGTGACTTTTTGGAATTCGGAAAAATCACAACTTCGCGTTAAATATGAAAATTTCAAAAATCTTGTTCACTGTAAATTATGCGCAATGTCAATTTGTACTTTGAAATTTACAAACTTCATAGAAAGCGAAGTGTAACTAATATTTTTCCGCATAAATTTCGCACTTTTTTCCGACGTCAAGCAAGGGCAATCCAAATGCTTCCCGAAATAGATATATATGTACCTATTATCACCGTGAATTTGCAATTTTGCATAATTATTTGCGCGACGCATGGAAATTTCGCTCTGTACTGTTTTGTACTACAAATTATTATAGTATTTTTAATGAGAAAAATGGGCACCTTTATTCCATGGGAAGTTTTTGTTTGTTTAGCATATTCCTTTCAACGCCAAATGCCGTCAAACTAGATGCATTTACAAACACTTTGCTCAATGAAGTTATAAACGAGTCTCTTTTTTGTATTGAAAATTTTATTTTAAAACTTTTACGATTTTTTTTTAATCTTTATTTAAGGAAATTTCATACATTTCGGTGATTTTTTTTTTGCATAATTATTTTTTACTATTATTTTTATCGAAAGCTGTTATCTACTAAATTTACCCCATATACGTATGTACATACATTTGCATGTTTATTTCCGGTGAACAAATTTACCACACTTTGCTTATTGATTTTTTGTTGTTTTTTACTTAAAATATTTATTTTTTATTAAATTTTTTGGTCTTTTTGCCTTCGTTTTTCTTTTTTTTTGCAAAGAATTTTATATATATATTTGTAAAATTTTTTCGCACACTCACCTGTGTTGACGCAGGTTGTCGCGTTGCTTGAAATATTTGCCGCAAACCTCGCAGGAATACGTTATCTCCGGTGATTTGTGGGTGCGTTCGTGTATCATCAGATTGTAGGGTTTGGTGAAACGCCGCTGGCAATATTTGCAAATGAACTCACACTTTGGACGCATCTTGCGGCGGAAATCCGACCGGCAGTCATCGTTGTCGATTCTCATTACAGCGAACATTTTGTCGTTGCTTTTGGCTTTGCTCTTGCTGTTGCTGCCGCTGCTGCTGCACTATAAATGTACTTGTATATGTGACTTTGGGGTGTCACTGTATTTGTATTTATATCTTTTGATTTTTTTTTTTTTTTGTACGCGCTTGACTTGCTGATTAGCGAATTTTACGCTCAGCGCTCACAAATCACACTGGCAATTTTGCTATGCACACTCGCTCGGACGTACGTCCCACAAGTTAAATGAAACCCAAGTAGTTTCTATATTACCGTTAATCGATCAGCAAGCGGGGGAGCTAATTACTCGCACTCGCTTGCGCTTTTCGAACACTTGTTGGCGGCAACTGTGCGCGGCGTGCGGTGCCTGAAGCGCTTTTTCTCAAATGCACAGATCAACTGTCGGTGCGACGCGCGGCGTGTTGACAACTACTGAGTGCGCGTTAATTGCGAGCGTTTGAGTTATCGTTGCGCTCGTATGCTCGTCACTCGCTTTTTTACTACTTACCAAGCGGTAAGTGGTGCGTGTAATCGTGGTGGGGTTGGTCACACAGTGTGGTGGGCAGTAAAATTGTTGTTATTCGTGGCAGCTGCTATGCATGTATGTACACGTATGTATTGGTACTAGGTGCCGTTGATGTATTGGTGCGATTGCGAGCGATAAGAGTTTGATATCTACACTAGAGAAAAAGAGCACTTTTTCTACTATGCACGGGGTGGGCTGGCGTAGTTTTTAAAGTAATTTTGTAGCGATGTTTGTTGCTTTTGTAACTGTATGCGGTGCAGGCAGCGAAGTGATTTAGAATGCTAGGCTTTGACGCTTTAATTTACTTGCTAATCGCAAACTCAATTTTTAACTGTCGCCGCTGTTGTTGCTGTTGTTGTTGTTGTTGTTTTATCAACGTTTTAGTAGTCGTTTACACGATGTGTGTTGCCGTTGCTGTTGCTACTTTTTATGATGTACTCTCATATACATATACATATGTATGTACATTGACTGTCGTGTTAATATTTGTACGGCACGCGTTGTTGTTGTTATTTACTACACAATTTGTTGTTGTTTCAACACCTTCTCGCTGCTATTTTTGCTGCCAACTACTCATACAACTGCACTTCACTTTGTGTGTGTGTGTGTGTGTGTGAGCATATGTTTGTAGGCGTTGGCGTTGGCGTTGGCTTTGGTGGGCTGATTCTTTTATGGACGGAATTCTACAAAGAAAAATTAAAAAACAAAAACACAATAAAGTAAATGAATATATACAATAAGCAGCAAAAAAGCAAAAAAATAATAATAAAATGGTAGATATTAAACGCTGTTATCAAATGAAAATTCTACAACAAAGAAATTAGCAACGCCTCCTCGTTGGCGATAAATTACCTTAGAAAATAAAGTGTTTGACAACTAAATTGAGCGAAAGAGTGGAAATCGAAAATTTCGGCGATATCAAAATCCAGCTGGAGTATGTATTGAAGGAGTTAACTTGATAATGTGACACCATATCTGTATGTACATATATACATATGTATGCATTGATGCAAAATATATATCTGCCTGCATATGAAGTAGTATATATAATACGAATGTTATATAATGTATGTACATAAATATACACATGCAAGTATATACATACATATATATGTACATACATATGTACAGGAAATATTTAAATGCATTTTAAGCAAATGTACTTTCTACTTGTTCAGAGTTATTTATTTAACCTTTCGCTGCTAAAACTTTTTTAAAATCATTATTATTATATTATTAATTATTTTCCCTTTTTTAATTGATGAACATATCATCGATCGAATAAACAGATAAAATTTAATATTTTTAAAAGTACATTAATTAATTTAAGAAATTAAAAAAAAAAAAAGTTGTGTTAGCTTTTTTTTCCATATATGCACATATGAATGTGTGAATATAAATTAGGTTACGCTTCTGCGCGTTGATCGTCGACTTGGCTAAAATTAAGCTTTGGTTTATTTTAAGCTAATGAAGTGACAGAAATCGTCTGAAAATATTTTAGAAATGGTTGTCTGGAAGACACGGTCATGGAAGGAACTGAGAAAATCTAGAAAGTGACCGTATAAAGTGAAACCGTATAACAAAATGTATATTAAGCACAAATGGAAAGCCAAATATTTTATACTGAAAATCTAAGCCACACTCCCACGTTTGGTACACACACCTCGATCACGGACTACTCACGGAATAGGTGCAATAGTCACGGGCCACAGAACAAAGATATCAATACCCATGGGGAAATATTTTTTATAGCATCTTTCAGCCAAGGTGCTCGTCATTACAACATGTGCAGAGCTCATACTCCAAAGGAAAATGGTTGACCCACATGTAGTAATATGTAGTGACAGTCAGGCCGCACTGAAAGCAACATAGTCCATATCAAAACTACAATACCAAAGTATTAATTTAAAAACGTAATATTATTTAGCAAAAAATAACTTAAGAATGCTAATAGGATTTCATAGGCTTTGTAGCATATGTATGTGCTCGGAATCTGCTCCGATGAAACTTGTCGCTTCTGTGAGCGTAAGTTCTATTTGAATGTGAAGCTGTGGCAAAAAGGAGACAACAAAAACACACGAAGAAGTCTTCCAGCCGGTGGATAGCCATATAAAATCAATCAGCTCCTCTAGCCTGGTTTTATAAGGGCATTAGGTCTGGTTGTAATAATGTGAAGAAATCGGAGGGCACAATAGACCACTGGTCGTGGTGCATATCCTCCTTACAAATCCATCTATCAATCTTTACTGAAAATTATTCTTTGAAAATAACTTTACAAACATATCTCTAATATTGGTTTCACTAATTTTAGTTTATGCAAAAAGCTCAATTTTCGCATTGAAAAAAAAATTCATACGACAATCAAATCTGTTAAGACATCTACACCAGAGATTATCCACTAGCGAAATTATACTACATATTTAGTCAAGTTAATATGAAAAATATGGTCAAATGATTTTATTTCGGTTCGACGCGATCTTCTAGAATTGAAACGAACAAACGACAAAGTCTTCGTTAATGTTAATTTTAAAATGGCTGACTCCTGTGATATTAACAGCACACCTTAATTTAAACGCTTAACATTAACTGTTATCGATAGCATTAGCATTAACTGTTAAGGACAGCATTTCATATCGTGTTAAAGGAAAACAAAAATTATTTTGATATTTGTGTAAGAAACTACTTATAAATTTGCATGATCCTTTAAGTTTTTTCTGCATTTTGTCGAGGGTTTTTCCAGTTTGTTATGCGTCGAGATTTTATTACAAAGTCTAAAGTTTGTATGCAAAGATTTTATTTCAAGAAAGAATTAATTTTTACCGAAATTAAATCTCAATGGATCAAAATATTTCTTTATACGCATGTACAGATATATGTACATATATACTATGCGTACCATGGTACCTATGCGCCTAATAATTATGAATTAAAATTAAATTTTTTCTAAAAAGTTTATATAGTTTATTAATTACAGTGTATATATGTACATATATGTATTTACGATCAGCTTTTCAAAATTTTATATATGTAGTTATGTACAAATTTATATGTAATGTGAAAACATAATTAAATAAATGCCTACTGTAACAGCAGCTGCCACTGTTAACCAACTATCGAAGCTATAAATCTGTGTTTTATTCTTTTTTATTCTTTTTAATGTAAAATCTTTCGAGAGAAAAACAACAAACGAAAAAATCACACAGACAAAAAAAAATTTAATTTAAAATGAAATGTTGACAATCGAATTTTAAGTTGTGACACTCTCAAGTCAATAAAACCGCAGTCATTAGATTTGTGTCTCCGATATGAAAATTAGCATTGCGTAATAGCTGTGTTTTTATATGTCTTTTTGAAAAATACATGAGCACGTATTCGTACATATAATATGTATTTATGTTTGTACCATAACATCAATTCACAAAATATCGCTAAATATGTATGCGGGCATGAGTGTGTATGTTAATCATAAAAATTGGTTATTTGGTAAGTGGCGTGGCCTCCAGTTACTTAGTGGTCATAATGAGTCAGCAGCGCATGTACGTAAATCATATATGCATATGCATATAATTGCAAATATACATTTTAACTTGTATGTATGTATGCATGTATGTATGTATGTATGTATGTATGTATGTATGTATGTATGTATGTATGTATGTATGTACGCTTTTGATATAACATATGTATGTATAACATGATGCATGCAAGCTGAAAATCTGTATGTATGTACATACGTAAGCTTTATGAATCTTGCTAATCTCTGGTGACTTTTTGCCCAACAGTTGGTGGCAACAGTTAAGTCTGTAAAACTCTTTTTAGACGCTCACCGCTGATGCGTCATTTTCGGAAATTTATTTTAGTGACTAACTATGCTTTCAAAAATTGTAATGTCTGCGAAGTGTTATATTGTACATAAGTACATACATATGTATGGATAATATGTGCTATATATGTAATTTTATGTACATTTGTACATATAAGTGGGTATGTGTAATAAATACTTGATCTTTTAATTATTATCAATCATTGTTACAAACGTATGTAGATATGTCTGTAGGTACATATGTATGTATGTATATGCGTATGGAAGTTTGCAACATTTTTATTCAACTAAATTTTTACGCACTTTTTGAGGTTATGATTACGCCAGAATCCGCTTTTACAGATTTCACTTATGTTTTTAGGGGCCTCACTGTTTTATGTATTGAAAAATATAATAAATTATGTATAAAAATATGCAGACATACATATTTATAAAAAGTTCATATGAAACAATCGGAAATTATTAAGCAAAGTTGTCCATGATTTGTGCATTTTTAATGGTAAAAAAAAATAATATTTTTACAGAAGAAATCCACAATTGCTATGAAAGGATATTTGACCGAAATATAACTCAGTAATTAAATACTCCAAAAGGCCAATCCTGTTTGATCCTTCAAACGTAGTAGAGTTGCTCCTTTCCGAAAAAATTATTAAAGTTCTTCTCTTTTCTATTCAGCTCTTTTACATGCTCTCTTTTTATATTTCTTTACATATATTTTTTTATTTAATTTTTTTGTTTTTGAAAATTAAATATTTTATATTTTCTTAGACTTAAAAATTGGCAATTGTTGCCACTCCATAATTGTTTGTAATTTTAAAAAATTTTGATCACATAAATTTTTTCCGAAATCATGAGTAAAATAATTTTAAGTATTTTCCTTTCGTTTCTAAACGAAAATGAATATTTGAATGTTGAAACTTCACAAACTTATTGTTAACTTTAATTTCTAAGTAGCTGTCTGCTATGATATTAACAGCACACTTTCCTTTTGCCGTTTAACATTATCTGTTAACGATTTAACATTAACGACAACTTTCGTGTAGAAACGAAAAGAAATTGCTAGATGCTTTTCAGGTCATTGTCATGTTGAATTGTTTTTGGGATTCAGTTTTATGAAACTGTCTCAGACCATTTTTATGGAAAGTGAAAACACAACAACAAAAAAAGGGACCGTAGAAATTAAAGCTGTCATTTCGGAAATCATCACGGCAAGTTGCAGAATGTCCGAGCAATTGATCGTGGATATGTACGTAAAATGGGAAACAGTGAAAAACAGCAAAAACTGAAAGCGGCAGGCATATAGCTCAATGGGATAATCATTGGTTTGTGCTGTGGGTATCACAAGTTTGGATCCAATTCGTCAGGGATGTTTGGAAAAGAAGTCTGATGGGGAAATTTGGTGTTTTCCGAAATAGCAGCTTTAACTTCTACCGTTCACATTGTTGTTGAAATTTTTTCATTTTTCCATAAAAATGTATGGTTTGAGAGAGCTCCATAAAACTGAAGCCCGATGAGAAATTTATTTTAATAACTGGATTAACGATACATTTCTCGTTACGATGCTCCTCCTCCATTTTGTGGTAGGTATCGTAATGTCGTTTTTCCAACAAATGGAGGAATTTACAGTTTAGATTAAACTAAACCACATCCAAACAGCTGATGGATTTTTTATGAGGAGACTGTTATTTCATGCCATGAGGTAAGACATTTCCTGAGAACAGGAATAATATAAAAAATGAGTTTTTCCTGATCTTCCGGAATGGCAGTACGCACTGCGTACCACTCATTTATTATTGGCCGAAAAATCTCTTTTCTTAAAAAATCTACAAATCCACTCGGAACCCTTTAAAATCCAATTTA